GCTAAAACATGCCTCCTGCTAAAGCTAAAACATGCCTCCTGCTAAACCCAAAACATGCCTCCTGCTAAAGCTAAAACATGCCTCCTGCTAAAGCTAAAACATGCCTCCTGCTAAAGCTAAAACATGCCTCCTGCTAAAGCTAAAACATGCCTCCTGCTAAAGCTAAAACATGCCTCCTGCTAAACCAAAACATGCCTCCTGCTAAAGCTAAAACATGCCTCCTGCTAAAGCTAAAACATGCCTCCTGCTAAAGCCAAAACATGCCTCCTGCTAAACCCAAAACATGCCTCCTGCTAAACCCAAAACATGCCTCCTGCTAAACCCAAAACATGCCTCCTGCTAAAGCTAAAACATGCCTCCTGCTAAAGCCAAAACATGCCTCCTGCTAAAGCTAAAACATGCCTCCTGCTAAAGCTAAAACATGCCTCCTGCTAAACCCAAAACATGCCTCCTGCTAAAGCTAAAACATGCCTCCTGCTAAAGCTAAAACATGCCTCCTGCTAAAGCTAAAACATGCCTCCTGCTAAACCCAAAACATGCCTCCTGCTAAACCCAAAACATGCCTCCTGCTAAAGCTAAAACATGCCTCCTGCTAAAGCTAAAACATGCCTCCTGCTAAAGCTAAAACATGCCTCCTGCTAAAGCTAAAACATGCCTCCTGCTAAACCCAAAACATGCCTCCTGCTAAAGCTAAAACATGCCTCCTGCTAAAGCTAAAACATGCCTCCTGCTAAACCCAAAACATGCCTCCTGCTAAACCCAAAACATGCCTCCTGCTAAAGCTAAAACATGCCTCCTGCTAAAGCTAAAACATGCCTCCTGCTAAAGCTAAAACATGCCTCCTGCTAAAGCTAAAACATGCCTCCTGCTAAAGCTAAAACATGCCTCCTGCTAAAGCTAAAACATGCCTCCTGCTAAAGCTAAAACATGCCTCCTGCTAAAGCTAAAACATGCCTCCTGCTAAACCCAAAACATGCCTCCTGCTAAAGCCAAAACATGCCTCCTGCTAAAGCTAAAACATGCCTCCTGCTAAAGCTAAAACATGCCTCCTGCTAAAGCTAAAACATGCCTCCTGCTAAAGCTAAAACATGCCTCCTGCTAAACCCAAAACATGCCTCCTGCTAAAGCTAAAACATGCCTCCTGCTAAAGCTAAAACATGCCTCCTGCTAAAGCTAAAACATGCCTCCTGCTAAAGCTAAAACATGCCTCCTGCTAAAGCTAAAAATGCCTCCTCTAAACAAAACATGCCTCCTGCTAAAGCTAAAACATGCCTCCTGCTAAAGCTAAAACATGCCTCCTGCTAAAGCAAAACATGCCTCCTGCTAAAGCTAAAACATGCCTCCTGCTAAAGCTAAAACATGCCTCCTGCTAAAGCTAAAACATGCCTCCTGCTAAAGCTAAAACATGCCTCCTGCTAAAGCTAAAACATGCCTCCTGCTAAAGCCAAAACATGCCTCCTGCTAAAGCTAAAACATGCCTCCTGCTAAAGCTAAAACATGCCTCCTGCTAAACCCAAAACATGCCTCCTGCTAAAGCTAAAACATGCCTCCTGCTAAACCCAAAACATGCCTCCTGCTAAACCCAAAACATGCCTCCTGCTAAAGCTAAAACATGCCTCCTGCTAAACCCAAAACATGCCTCCTGCTAAACCCAAAACATGCCTCCTGCTAAAGCTAAAACATGCCTCCTGCTAAAGCTAAAACATGCCTCCTGCTAAACCCAAAACATGCCTCCTGCTAAAGCTAAAACATGCCTCCTGCTAAAGCTAAAACATGCCTCCTGCTAAAGCTAAAACATGCCTCCTGCTAAAGCTAAAACATGCCTCCTGCTAAACCCAAAACATGCCTCCTGCTAAAGCTAAAACATGCCTCCTGCTAAAGCTAAAACATGCCTCCTGCTAAAGCTAAAACATGCCTCCTGCTAAAGCTAAAACATGCCTCCTGCTAAAGCCAAAACATGCCTCCTGCTAAAGCTAAAACATGCCTCCTGCTAAAGCTAAAACATGCCTCCTGCTAAAGCTAAAACATGCCTCCTGCTAAAGCTAAAACATGCCTCCTGCTAAAGCTAAAACATGCCTCCTGCTAAAGCTAAAACATGCCTCCTGCTAAAGCTAAAACATGCCTCCTGCTAAAGCTAAAACATGCCTCCTGCTAAAGCTAAAACATGCCTCCTGCTAAACAAAACATGCCTCCTGCTAAACCCAAAACATGCCTCCTGCTAAAGCCAAAACATGCCTCCTGCTAAAGCTAAAACATGCCTCCTGCTAAAGCCAAAACATGCCTCCTGCTAAAGCTAAAACATGCCTCCTGCTAAAGCTAAAACATGCCTCCTGCTAAAGCCAAAACATGCCTCCTGCTAAAGCTAAAACATGCCTCCTGCTAAAGCTAAAACATGCCTCCTGCTAAAGCTAAAACATGCCTCCTGCTAAAGCCAAAACATGCCTCCTGCTAAAGCCAAAACATGCCTCCTGCTAAAGCTAAAACATGCCTCCTGCTAAAGCTAAAACATGCCTCCTGCTAAAGCTAAAACATGCCTCCTGCTAAAGCAAAACATGCCTCCTGCTAAAGCTAAAACATGCCTCCTGCTAAAGCTAAAACATGCCTCCTGCTAAAGCTAAAACATGCCTCCTGCTAAAGCCAAAACATGCCTCCTGCTAAAGCTAAAACATGCCTCCTGCCTAAACCCAAAACATGCCTCCTGCTAAAGCCAAAACATGCCTCCTGCTAAAGCTAAAACATGCCTCCTGCTAAAGCTAAAACATGCCTCCTGCTAAAGCTAAAACATGCCTCCTGCTAAAGCTAAAACATGCCTCCTGCTAAAGCTAAAACATGCTCCTGCTAAAGCTAAAACATGCCTCCTGCTAAAGCTAAAGCTAAAACATGCCTCCTGCTAAACCCAAAACATGCCTCCTGCTAAAGCTAAAACATGCCTCCTGCTAAAGCTAAAACATGCCTCCTGCTGCTAAAGCTAAAACATGCCTCCTGCTGCTAAAACATGCCTCCTGCTAAAAAAACATGCCTCCTGCTAAAGCAAAACATGCTCCTGCTAAAGCTAAAACATGCCTCCTGCTAAAAGCCAAAACATGCCTCCTGCTAAAGCTAAAAACATGCCTCCATGCTAAAGCTAAAACATGCACTCCTGCTAAAGCTAAAACATGCCTCCCTGCTACAGCTAAAAACATGCCTCCTGCGAAAGCCTAAACATGCCCTCCTGCGAAAGCAACCCAAAACATGCCTCCCCGGCTAAAGCTAAAACATGCCCTCCTGCTACAGCCCAAAATCATGCCTCCTGCTAAAGCTATAAACATGCCTCCTGCTAAACCCAAAACAGGCCGCCTGCGAAAGCTAAAAAACATGCCCTCCTGCTAAAGCTAAAACAGGCCTGCCTGCTAAAGCTTAAAACATGCCTCCCTGCGAAAGCTGAAATACATGCCTCCTGGCTAAAGCTAAAACAGGCCCTCCCGGCTAAAGCTCAAACATGCCTCCTGCTAAACCCAAAACATGCCTCCGGCCTAAAAGCTAAAACATGCCTCCTGCTAAGCCCAAAACCATGCCTCCAGCTAAAAGCTTAAAACATGCCTCCTGCTAACACCCAAAACCTGCCTCCTGCTAAAGCTAAAGACCTGCCAAAGTCCTGCTAAAGCTAAAACAGGCCTCCTTGCTGAAAGCTATAACCATTGCCTCCTGCTAAAGCTCAAACATGCTGCCTCCTGCGAAAAGCTAAAACATGCCAAGCCTGCGAAAGGCTACAAACATCGGCCTCCAGCTAAACCCTAAAACAAGGCCGCCCTTGCTAAAAGCGCGATAATACATGCCTCCTGCTAAAGCTAAAGACATTCCTCTGCTAAAGCTAAAACTGGCCTCCACGAATGCTAAAACAGGCCTCCGTGCTAAAGCTAAAACATAGCCTCCTGCAAAAGCTCCAAAACAAGCACTCCCTGCTAAAGCTAAGAAACATATGCCCTCCTGCTAAACCCAAAACATGCCTCCTGCTAAAGCTGAAAACATGCCTCCTGCTAAAGCTGCAGTCCCATTGGGTTAGGGTGCAAGGTGTTATTTTAAAATACATACATGCACATTCAATGTTACAATGTTAACACAATGTTATTCAACTAATGTTTCTTTTGTTGTCCTACTTTTTGATAACTTTAATGATACAGTATGTTGGTCAAGCGACATCCTGAGTCCTGGATCCGGTCCATCTGTGGGAGCGGGTCCCTCTCTCAATGTGGTTCTCCCCAAGACTTACTCCTGTTCTCTCCCACTGGGTTTGTTAGAGTTTGCCTCCTCACTGGTGCCGGAGGGTCATGGGGACAGGGGAATGATGCCCAGGGGACACTTCCACGTTTCAAACCACATTTAGGGACATTAGTCTCCGCCCCTTAACTCATTGACTGCCAGCCGTTTTTGATGAATTCACTCATTTTAAAGACCCACAGAATATTGTGTGCTATGACTATGTGAAATATGAAACCAGATTCTGAAAGATTGGACTGTCTACTTTCAGCAGCAAAAATAAGTTTGTTTCTAGCTAGTTTTGTTCTCCTGTAATTGCCAGTCGAAAAGAGGGTCTCAGATAAATACGTCAATGGCAGTCAAAGAGTTATGGACCATTGGCTCTGTGTTTTTTAATCATTGCCCACTGTATGATTTGAGTAAACAAATGATCTCCAAACTTTTTTTCTTGTTTTCACCTTAACAGAGTAAAACTTCAAAAACAAACCGTGAACTTTCTTGTT